TAAAAGTGTCCAACACACAGTGTATTTTCAGTAATGACTGTGGACTGAGCACATGTGAAAAGATTTAGGTGAGGGAGCATGGGATGAAAGCTTCTGTACAAAATGCTCACTGAATGTCCAAGAGATGTTGGAATACTAATTTAAGTCTTGAAAGAGGTCATTAGCATTGAGGATGCTTATAGCCGTGGAACTGCACAAGACCATGTAGGGAGTTACTAGGAGGGAACAACTGGGGGGGGGGCAAACTCTGCTGGGAGGCTGAGCAAGAAGAGAATCAGGATTAAGTGGATGTACCGATGTGGATGCCATGGTGACCTCAAAAATGCAGTTTGATGGAGTGGTTTCTATTAGAATCTCAGTAGACTCAGAAAAGAAATGGGGACAAGGTGGTAGAGAAAGGGAGTATAGCCAAAATGTTTTTGCAAAATTGTTACAAGTGGATGCAAAGAAATGATGAGATAGCTGAAAAGAAAAGTAATATTTGCAAAACAATGTAGGGTTAGGAAAAAGCAGATTTTTAAAAGATAGAAGATATGATAGCATCTTTGCATGCTATTGCGAATGATTGAGTACAAAGAGAAAATGAAGGAATGAGAGTGAATGTGGGGTAATTGCAAGAAAAACGTTCTTACATAGGGAAAAAGGATGGGGTCCTGTGCCATAGCTATACATTGCATTTTGCTTCTGGTTCTTAGATAGCCATAATTTTGCAGAAAAAAAAGAATTAAAGGCCTGAGTATTATAGATTGAAAGGAAAAGATAAATATGTAAGAGATAAGTACATGGAATCAACACCACACAGTTCTGGAGGCAGAGAAGACCATTCAAAACAGTGTTTCTCAAGCAAGAGCATGTCTCAGAACTGTTTGCAGAGCCTGTAAAAGCACAGATTTTCTTGCTAGGCCAAACCCACAGAAATTCTGATGCACTAGGTCTTGGGTCTGAAAACCTGAATGTTTCACACATCCCAGAAGATATTGATATCGCTGGTCTCGTTCTCAAAGTGCTGCTTGAGATCCAGCAGCACCAGTATCACCTAGAAGCTTATCAGAAATGGAGAATGTCTGGCTCCATTCCAGGCTTACTAGACCAGAGTCTGCATTTTAACAAGTAATTTATTTACACATGGAAGCATGAGGCTCACCACTCCAGGATACTATTTTTCAGCCTTGCCCCAGGTGGTTCCAGTATGAAGCTATGAGTGAGAAGAATTGATTTAGGAGGACTCTGAGGTATGTTGCCTGCATGGCTATGTTAATTCAAGAGGCATTACACTGGATTGAGAACTTATAAAAAAGAGCAGGCTTATGGTGGCTGATGGGTTTTTTTCAGCATGTTGTACTTGAAGTTTCCTGGAGTGCATGAGGAGAGAGGGAAGGAGACAGAGAGAAAGAGAATTTAAAAGAAGGAGCAGTGATTTGTACACCTCAGAGAGGTCCTATAAGATAGACTGAGGTGTGTCAGTTACATGGCAGTCAGATCACCAGGGACCTGGCCATGTGCAGTTCAGAGCTGGCATAGCTCCAAAAACCCAGGGGCAGAAGTTTCTCCAGTAACTAGAAGACATGGAAATGGGGTCACTGACAAGCCTCTCAAAAGCTTGGCTGTACGAAAAAGGATAGAGGAGACGCAGGGTGAGAGACTAGTGCTGCACATGGAAAGAGTTGGAGTGTGGCAAGGGAGGGTGTTATGGTTTGTGTCTGGATGTCCCCCCAAAGCCTCATGCAGTCATGGGGTGGGCTTTTAGAATTTATGATTGATCTACAGTCCAATGCTGGGATTATGGGTGTGAGTGCTACACCAGCCCTGGGGCAGATAGTTTGCATACGTAAGGGAGAGAAAGAGGCTGTTTGCTGCCACTCCTCCCTTTCGCTCTGGTTGCTTTTGCTGCTTTCTGCCGCCATGAAAGGTTCCCCTCTGCCGTGTTCCACTCTGCCTTGGAGCCAGCCAAATATAGACTAAAACCTCCACAAACTGTGAGCTAAGTAAACCTTTCCTTCTTTAATTTTGGGCTTTGGGTATTTTGTCCTAGCAACAAAAAAAAGTCACCAAGACAGAAGGCCTGTGCAACCAAGATGGCAGGGAGCTCATGGTACAGGGTATGAGTGGGGCTTGATCTCAGGAGGAGATAGAATGTGGATATGACTGCAGATGTATTTGTCACTGAAGAGGTGGGAAGGTGAGGGCATCAGTACCCCCAAGTTTCCATTTTCTCTAGAAAGTGGTAGAATCATTTGCTTGGAGGAAATAGAGGAGGAGTCTTGGAGTCTTGAAGATTTTTTTTCTTATTTTTCATGTACTTTCACAAAAGATTAAAGCCTTTTCATGTAGATGTGAAATGCATAATATACCTTGACTTTATTATGTATAAAAGATCATTCATTGTGAAATAACACATTTCTAAATCCGCCCCAGGAAGCATGACACATTGCTTGTAAAGAAAGCCCAAAGTTGAATTCCTACCCATCATCCTTACTCTTTGAACTTAATTCTCTTCCAGCTCTCCTAACTCTTCCTCTATCTCATTGGTGCCTATGATTTCCTTTAATCTTTATTGTTCCCCATTGCATCTTTCCTCTGTTTATTAGGCCTCTTGTCGGGCACTTGTTCTCATTTGTTTCCTGTGTCATGAAAGCCTCACCCCAGCCTCTCTGTTGCTGTCTTGTTCCTGTGAATTCTTTTCAAATAAGACTTCTGAATGCCAGACTTCAATTCATGTTTTTAATCAAGTAAAAGTATTTTTGTGTTTTTGAGTTACAGAGATAATACATATGCTGATAATAAGCCATGTAAGAAAAAAGTAAAACTTCAATTTCAGTTGTGTGTGTGTGTATGTGTGTGTGCCTGTGTGTGTTTGTGTTTTCTCCTGACACCCCTTCCATAAAGTCCCAGGGGAGTCACTGGGAAATAGGTGATTTGTCCTGGAATCTCGGGTGAATAATGTGGAGGGGACAGCCTGTGTCATGTGTGTGACAGCGCCCCTCTGTCATGAGTTGTTTTTTGTAACCCACACAAAAGCTATGTTAAACAGCATAAAAATGATATAGTTCTCCCTGAATGCCCCATTCTTGGGATGCAATTTTTTTTTACCATGAATTGTGGAAGAATTCGATTCAGAGGCGTGATGGAGCTTCCATCCCCCCTTGCAGATGTAGACTTAAACCTAGGGGGGAGAGGTTGAAGCCCCACAGAATGGCTCCTTCACCACTGTCTGCTGGGGGATCCAACCTGTCACAGCTTCCTGTTACAGCAGATTGAAAGCATGTGGGGAAGCGGGGTGCTCCCTGGGGACCTTGATCCTGCCTTTGCTGTACTTCTCTGTCTGAGATGGAAGCCAAGGGATCTCTAACCCTGAGGCTAGAGGGAAGTTTGCTCTACCTGTATTAGTGAGATTTCTCATCACTGGGACAAAATACCTGAAACCAACAACTTAAAAGTGGAGAGATTTATTTTGGTTCCTTTTTTAAAAGGAGGATTCAGTCCATGGTTGGTTGGTTCTGAGGCAGAAATGGTATGGCGGAAGGCATGGCAAAGCAAAGGTGCTCACCCCATGGCAGCTGGAAAGCAAGAGGAAAAGGGATGGAATACACCCTTCCAGGTCATGCCTCTAATGATCAACCTCCAACAAGGCTGTACCTGTGAATATAAGATTTAGGGGAATATTTAGATGTAAACCATAACATCTAGCTAGCCACCCCCCAAAACAAAACTCAAGTCCATCTTATGATGTAGAATTATTTAATGCATCTCTAACAGTTGCCATTTCAGGGACAAATATCCAACACCACAATTTATGGGGTTTTTTTGTTTGTTTATTTTTGTTTTTATTTTTCTTCCAGTACCAGGAATCGAACTTATGACCTTGTGCTTGCCAGGCAGGCGCTTTGCTGATGAGCTAAATCCCCAGCCCTGCAACACCACAATTTAAAGGAGGAGAAATTTATTTTGGCTTATGGTTTTTAGACGATTCAGTCCATGGATAGCCAGCTCCAAGGCAGAAAGAGCAGGGCAGAAGGACCTGGTGGAAGAAAAATTCTTATTTCATAGCAGCTAGGAAACAGAGAGAAGAGGGAGGGCAAGAATAAGGCCAAGGACAAGAATACACCCTTCCACGTCATGCCTCCAGTGACCCACCTCTAACTAGACCTCACCTCCAGAATGCGAATGGGTAGGACACATTTTAGATCTAAGTCCTCATACCATTCCTAATGTGACCCAAAAAGTTTGACTAGGAAGACTAGCCACTGCTCCTCCCCAGAGAGAAAACAAGAGATGCCACAAGTATGTATCCATCGCACACACAAGGAGGACAGCAGAGAGGGAGGATTCTTTCCTAGCGGTGGTCTCAGTGGGTGGGTGGGACACAGAAAACGGGGACTCAGGAAAATGAATGGTTCTAGTCACACACCAAGAGTTTGTAGAGACTGAAAGCAAATCTAAGTTGGTCTGATTTAAAACCTTAACCCTTAATGAATAGACATCACTGTCCCAGCCATCTTTATCATGAAGGATCAGAAGAGTCTAGTAAGTCATGAGATGGGTTCAAGGTTCAACTTTCTCTTCATTGCATATACTGTCCAAGGATTTGATTTTGATTTAAGGAATGAAAAGAGAGAGAAGTCCACAAACCAGCCCCAGCCTTAGAAGTCACCCCAAGTGTAAAAGCAGTCCAGGGGGTTGTTTTCCACCCTTACTCACTGTGACAACTTGATGCTCTCTCTATGACAGTGCTGCCTTGCTGCCAGTAAACTGTCTGCAGAAGTCAATTGACCCAAGGGCTCGGATGCTCACCCGTGTCACTGTACATTATTGGTTTGAACTATGTAGAAGCAAAGCTGAGAGCTGATGGCTGGAGAGAAAATCCTATACCACGTCTAGTTTCTGGAGTCCTCAGTCAGCAGTTTTCAACTGGAGAGGGAATATTACTTGTTATTAAATCTGTATTTAAGGAAAAATACTTTGTCACTCCTTATTCTAAGTGGTTTTTGTATTTCTTTCAGATGTCGCCCATTTAATGTGGTTTGAAAGACTCTATGTTTGGCTTCAGTCTTTTGAAAAATATATCTTGTACCCAGCAATAATTCTGAATGCCCTCACTATTGATGCATTTTCAATAAGCAATTACCGGAGACTTGGTACCCAGTAAGTGAAGAATGGTTTATTCTCATAAAGATTTGGATCACAACATTTTCAGAATCTAGTGAATTTTCTCTCAACAGGCTGCAGAAGAAACCAACTTTTACCTGCTAATTACTGACCACATAAAAGTAATACTTGGCGGTCTTTTACTCACACTCACGAGAGTAGATAGTTACTGTGCAGTGACTAGGGTACAAGGGAAGTTAGATATGCTTGAAGTGATGTTGTGAATAAATGTCAGTAGATTTGAAAACCATCTTGCAGAAGCTTAGCTGCAGAGGCTAATGAGATGACGGAAACACAATGTGAATCCAGGATTCCTGGAGTTCTCACCACCATGCTTAGAGCGATGTGAACTGCCTTGTGCCATTTCATTTAACAAATACTCTATCATTTTGTGCTTGGGGGAGGGGGCAATTAATCACTGCCACCGCTGTCTGCATTTATCAAGAGGAGTTTTATAATTTAGAGACTGGAGCATAAGAGACTTCATACTGTCAAAATACCCATGTTTTTTCAAAGCATTAACAATGCAAAATGGATTCATTGGTTTCATACATTAAAATTAATTCTGAATTTACAAATGGAAATGTACTTGATAATTTGGGGATTTGCCATTCTGACAAAAGGTGAGAGTCAATGCTTAAATCCTTTATTAGTGTAGGAGAATGTAAAAGAGATTCTTTCCCAGACTTGCTCATTAGTCACGTTGCTAGAAAACTACATATCCAGGTCAACCCTGAAGCTAATCCCAAGCATATTAATTCAGACCTGCTCTTTTGCTCAGGGTGTGATGAAGATACCTTAATTAATATTTGCCAAAGATTGAGCAAGCTAAGATGAAAGGCATTTTAATGCTCTGCGGGACTTTGAGTAGATGCAGAGTCACAGAAAGCAGGCCCTAAATGAAATGACAACTCTGTCTTTGGTGGACTCGCTCCCTTCAAGTCCAGACCATTTTGGTTAAAACAGGAAGAGAATTCTACGTCCCTTGGTATTTAAATCTGTAGACTTCAGATCCAAGGATAAAATTTAATCCCACTGGATAGATAAACAGGATGTGATGGTGAACCTGTTACACTGTTGAGATAAGGTCCAGCCCAGGAAGTGGCCCTTCTCCTAGCAGCCAGGATTACCAGTGAGCACAGCCATGCCTGACCCATGACTTCTCCTAGAACTGGGAGGACACTAGGCACACATCCACAAAGTGGAAGGCAGGAACAGGGCTGCCCTGGGATATCATGCTACATTATGAAAATCTTACCCTCAAAAACCAAAATGTCCTGAGTCTTGAGCTGCCTCATTATTGGGGTTCCGAAGGAGGGTGTTGGCTGCCCAACAGAGAGTTTCATACTCTGGGCCGCTGTCTAGGGAAACTGTAACTGAGGTCTTATTTTCATACCATCTCACCATGGTGGCCTAGTGGCAAAGGAAGGTAGGCTGTGCAGCAATGCTTGGCCTTGCTGTGCCAGATGAGGGCTAAATGCTGAGGTTTCAGAAGACCCTCACTCCCCAGATCTGCATGGGATGAGAGCTAGTTCCCTCAGAAGCCAAATCCAACTGTTGCACTGGGTGTTGGGCACACCTCACCTTGTGCATCCTGGGGTAGAGCAGAAAGAATTTAAGCCCTGAGTCTGAGGAGATAAAAGATCAGACTGAGGAATATGGATGAGCTAACATTAGGGCTTTTTGATGATAAAAATAACAATTTTGCACCTGATAGGTGCAAGAATTTAAAGCACCTTTTAAAAAGAATTTACTTGAGGCATGGTAACTGTACATATTTATAGGTTATATTGTGCCATTTACATATATATTGTGTACATATACATGTACATATACCATATGTATATATACTGTGTATAAGGATCAGATCAGGGTAATGCTATATCCATCACCTTGGACATTTATCATTTCTTTATGCTAGGAACATTCAAAATTTGCTCTACTAGCTCTTTTAAAGCAGTCAATTAGTTATTAATCACTACTGTTCTACTGACAGCACTTCCTAAATATCCTCATGCTGGGACAAGGTATTAATAATGCCCATAAGGGTGTAGGGTTCAGGGCTCTTCAGGGCTTAGATAAATAGAAGTGCAGCCCCGGCACCCTGCTAGAGAGACAAGCCTTTGCTTTTGAGGGCAACCATTCCTGAGAACTCTCCCACTCTGCCCTCAAGTTCTCACGTAGCGTGTTACGGTTGCAGGGGAATCTGGATTCTTCAGGAAGAGACTAAAGGAGGCCACTCCACTCTGGGCTGCACTGTGTTCATCTCCTGCCTTGCACTTTGGAGCTTTCTCATCATTGGCTCCCATATGAGAGAATCATATATGTTACCCTCCCCCACTACACACACACATGCATCCTTTAATAATCTGAATCCCTGGGTGAGTCTGGGAGCTCAGTTCTCAAAGCAAAGTCCTCAGAGAGTATTTCTTTGCCTGGCTCTGCTTGAGTGAACTCCTGCACTGAAAGCTTATGCTGTGGAAGAAAAAATGCCAGGGCCTATGATTTTGAGGAAAAAAGATCAAGACAAGCTTATGTTCACTAGGATGACAAATATGCTGAAAAACAGTGGAAGTTAATATGTGCAAATGAAAACCGGCTTTATTAAAACACTGGACTTCTCCCTATGCTCAGAGCTGAATGTGGCCATCGCTGTGCCTTTGTTTCTGTCAAATTCTTTTGTCACAAGCTGGTGTATGCTGAGCAGACTATAGGAGGGACAGAGTGGTGTTTTCTAACTGGACGCAAGCTTTCCATGGAATTTTCCTCATTGCTGAGGTCCTTACTTCAGCAAGCTCAAATGAGCTCTGTGTCCTTGCAGAAGAACACAAGGAGTTAGGAAAACGCCTCTGATGGAAATGGAATGTCTATGGGCAAAGACGATGTCACTTGGGAGAGCCATTCTGAACTAAATGGTCCCAGCTCAGCCCAGTGAGACCTTGGACCAGTTACTCCAGTGCCCCTAGGCCCCCTTTCCTCCTTGTAGGATGCAGACAGTGGCAGGGCCTCCGTCTGGCCTTCTGTGCATGTGAAGAGCATGTTACACAGTCACATTCAAGAAACCACAGTTTTCACAAGTCACCTGGTGGCCTGCATGTTGTCACTGACTGGTCTTCTTCCTCTCCTTTCCACAGTTGGGACATTTTCCTGATGATCATTGCTGGTATGAAGCTGCTGCGGACTTCCTTCTGTAACCCAGTTCACCAGTTTATCCACTTGAGCTTCGCTCTCATCTTTTTCCACTTTGACTACAAAGACTTTTCAGAGAGTTTCTTGCTGGATTTCTTCATGGTGTCCATCTTACTGAGCAAGGCAAGTTAAATGGTCATTTTCTTCATTTTTGGCATCGGAAGTGGGCATTTTTTGTCAAATATATCAAGAATTTAAAATGTTTGCCTTATAAAAAAATTTGTAGAAGGAAATGAAATTGAATTATATGTGTGTGTTATACTCCTGCAGCCATGCAGGGGAAATTCTCCACGGAATTTAACTATTCCATGTGACTTGCTAAAAATCACTAATTAAAATGAATCAGTCATTAGTGTGGCTTGAAATTTATCTGTCCTTATAGGGCTTCCCAAGATCTTAACATGCTCTGAATTAAATTAAAGATGAACAACGAGACTTACTTATTCAATTTTTTTTACTTTGCCTCGAGGTAAGGCTTGAGACCCGGTGTCTGCGGGTAAGGTCTCTTGGGGTGTTTTCATTCCCGGAGTTTGTCTCATGTCGAGATTTCATCTGCTGTGAGTTTGAATATAGGGAGGAATCCCAGTGACTATTCAGGGAAACATATGTGGATAATGTCTAGTATTTCACACTCGAAACATAAGATTCTCTGGATAGTTGAGAGCGCCTCTGTGGCTGTATTTGTTTGATGGGAATAACAAAGCCTCAGCTTGAAAAGAGAAAGGAAGGATCTGGAGCCCTGCCTGCTGAGTGCTCCCTGGCCGGACTTCTTTCTCCCTGTGTCTGTGCTCACAGCCTGTGTCTAATATTGTGCCCACTCCTACTTTACCAACTCCTCGTCCTGTTCTTCAGTAGTTTTGTACATTTTAAGGGCCTTTCCCTCTGGATTTCATTTTTCATCTTTTATGAGCCAATTCTGTTCATTGTTACTTTCTCATTATTCTTTATTTTTTTCTTCCTACTGGCTTTCTCTTTGCTTCTTTTAGGTAACAAAAAGTGAAAACTGTCATACAAAACTGTTGTACAAAGAAGCCCCATAAGTAATTGTCACCACTCCATCCCTGTTTGTGAGTCTTTTGTCCTCCCTCTGGCTGAGCACTGATTCTTCCACGACCTGAATCCTTCCTGTGTTCTTTCCTCCTAACCCTCCCTCTGACTTCTGCAGTCTGCTTGGGTTTCCATCTTTCATCTCTGACCCTGGGCTTCCCTTGGCTACAAGCGTGTGTGTCATGTTTGTGTGAGCTCTCTTTGATTCTTATCCATCTTTCCCACATTTCTGTCTTCACATCACGCCTTCCCCATTCTGTTCTTCATTCTTATCTCAGATAAATACAAAGTTATAGCCTATGATCTTTAAGCCATTTAGGAAGTTATTGTATATGACCATCCTACTCACAGGGTTAGGAGCTTGTCATCAGCTGTAAAATGTGGTGGGGATGATTCAGTTCTGGACTCTGGCATTATTTATCTTTTTTTTTTTTTTTCTGGTACTGGGAATCGAGCTTACGACCTTGCACTTGCCAGGCAGGCACTGTGCCGCTGAGCTAAACCCCTAGCCCCTCTGGCATTATTTATATTTCAACATGGTGAATGTATTCTTTCTGAGCCTCATTTTCCTATACAATGGACAAAAATGCCAGTCTCACCTGGGGGTTGGAAGGATTCCTTTAATAACTATAACATAAATTTTAAAGTAGAATTCACTCTGCAAGCACAAGGAAGAGCTTTTGGAGCCAAATGTAAGCAGAAAAAGCCGCTGTGCACTGTTTGTGAGGAAGGAGCTAGGTAAGTTGCGCTGCGGGTGGGAAGGAAGCAGGCAGAAAGGAGCCAGGTGGTCCTGACTCCATCACTCCTGCTGGAGGAATGGCTTTGCTGGTCGGGTGCAGGCAGTCTTTCCTCATCCCATTGCCCACCGTTCAGCTGAGGGCCAGCCAGCCACTGCTATAGACTCTTGGCCAGGCACAGGTGTCTGGCTGAACAAAAGAACATACACAGCTCACCCTTCTTGACCAAGGACACTCAGACCCATCCTATGCAAGGCAAGGTGGGGGGTGCAGGGTAGGGTGACAGAACATGATCTGAACTAAATCCACAAAGACCTCGCTGCTGCAGGCACTCAGTTTTCACTCTGCTTAATCTTTTTGAAGCACCAATTAAATGCTAACAATTTCAAGCCGAACCATAGTCACAGCTTTCTTATTTTCTCTAATTGAGGGAGCATTAGCAAATGCAATTTGAATAATCTGCTTTTAGATTGGGATAATGGCTGAGTCTAAAAGAAAAAGAGCAAGGAAAGCAACTGAGACAAAGAAAAACAAGCAGGCAAAGAGGCACACTGGATGGCCGGAGAGTGGGTCTGAGTACTGGCCCGGCCCAGCCTCTCTGGCTTCCTGCTCATCCTGTATCTCCAGAGAGCAGGCAGTGGTGAGCTTCCCGGAATGAGAAACAGGATCCCACTCCCTAACAGCAAAAATATAGCTAAGGAAATGGATCGCATTTGTGATCGTGATGTAAAGTGGTAGCGGGAATAATCAGCTGCAGTTAATGTCTCCTGCAGAGGTCCTGCCTGCAAATCCCAAAGGGGGAGCTCTTCATTCTCCTCACTTTCTCTCAGAGTACATTCCCTAGAAGCTTCTTAGAAACCTCAGGGTTGGGTTACAGCCGCACAGTTTTCCTGGGCCGCTGATTGCTTGATGTATGACTTCACCTGTCCGGTCGACTCATCCGAGTCCTGCTCTGACAGTCTTCCACATCGCTGCTGCCCCAGCCCTTACCCCGTGCACCTGAGTACAGGGCTTTGTTAGCCTAGAAGCCCCCCCACCAGGGTGCTGTGAGGCTGATGAAGAGACATTTGGGCAAGCATCTGGTTTCCATGGAAGAAAGGAGCTGCACCACCATGGGGGCACACAATTACTATAAGCCAGTGGCCCCTGATCCTCTAGGCTTCTCAGGAAGGAAGAAAGAAGTGACCAGAGAGAAGATCCACAGCCTGAGCTCAAGGCCCCAGGAAATCAGGGAAGGGTAGATGGCCTCAGAGTGTCCAGGCTCTGCCTGAATTTCTCTGTCTCTCTGAGTTCTCTACTCTGAGGTCTGGGAGAGGAATATTGCTTAGTCTCTTCTGTCTGCCAGAGCTGGTAGAAAGTGGGGAATAATCAATTGCCAGGCCAGAGTCCTTGGGGACAGATATAGTGATGATTGACACAGTAGTGGACACTTCCATGTATGGTAGAACAGCTGGATGAGGGCATTTCCAAGTTCCATTCTGTGTTGCAGAGCTCTTCATCACACACCCTCTAGGGAATCTCCTTGGCTTGTCACACCCATTCTTCCTCATGCCCTTCTTCCCTCCTTTCCTTCCTCTCTGGTCTGTCCTATGGTCATTCTTTTCTTTAAGAACTCATGTAATGCACCGGTAACATTCCTGGTATGTTTAGGTCTTTGGAGTGCATTGAAATGTGGGAGTTGGAATAATCGGTTGTTAGGAACATTTGGTTTTAGCAGGACCACAAATAGCAAAAGCCCTTTCATGCTCTCCCACTGGCCCTGAGAAAGTCCTTAGAGACCACTCTGTCTTGAAACACTTAGCAACTTAGTTTTGAGAGGATGTACAGCCATAACTTGGGAATGTCCTGCCATCTGATAATGCTGCTAGCATTTCAGAACCCATTAGACATGAAATTCTACAGACCATCATTTCTGGACCTTCACTGTTTAGGAAGTTAAAATCAATGGGTGAAGTGCGTTTATGATAACTCCTTACGACTATCACACCAGAGACATGACTAGGGAGCTGTGTTATGGATGACCACGGTTGGCACTCATGTGCTTTGAAACAGTCTCTAAATGACATTTCTCTGTATTCTGCCAATGCAGGTCAATCATTTTGGATTAATATAGAGCTATATTTTTTCTTAGAATGCATGCTTCTACAAAAGTATTTGTTCAAAATACTTTGATCAGAGAAGCAGTTGTTTAATCCCAGCACTTGGGAGGTTGAGAAATGAGGATCACTGTGAGTCCAGGCCACTCTGGGCTACATAGTGAGTTCAAGGCCAGTCTGAATCACATAATGAGACTCTGTCTCAAAATCCAACCCCCGCCCCCAACCAAAGAAAGAAAAACAGTTGTTCATTCCTTGAGTGTCCATCAGGAGCCAGGCATTGCCCTGGGGCCAAAGGTGACTCATGATAGTGATATAGGGGAAATAAGTGTAATTTTTAACCCATTAGATGTCAGGTACTCTGAGTTTGTGTTCCCCAAAACAGAAGAATAAGTTTTAAGGAACAACAGAGGTTAAGAGTAGGAAATGTTAAGAAAGAGAGATATAGCTCTTGAGAGACAGAAGAATGTGGGTTGCTGTGGACCCCACTTGCTAGAGGAAGTTTTATAGAGCAAGTTCACAAGGTGGGCTCAAAATTCACAAGGTGGGTGAAATGTGGGACAAAACTTTGGTCACCTAGTAAGATTATGAGTGCAGCCATTTAGGTAATATTGATCCAATGGGGAAGCAGATCACATAGCCAGTGGACATGGGAAGAACAAGGACCTTTTCAGGAAGAGATGAACGAGGGGGTCCTAGCCACCCACTGGGACAACTAAGGTCTACTCAGACTTTACTGGACCAGGTGAGCACAATTTCTAATCCACTGTTTATCCCTCAGGAAGGCATGAGGTCCTGGTCACCCTGTCCCCATTTTGCAGCCAGACCTTCAACAGCTGCTCCTCCTGCCGTATTTGTGAAGTGTTTGTATCTTCTGCTTTGACTCCCTTGAGGGCCTAGCCCTGTCTGACTGCCTCTAAGTTGGATTTTTATCCAACTGAGCTGTCTGAAATAGTAGGAATGACGGTAGGTTCTTGTCTTAGTTGCTTTTAGCATTGCTGAGACAAAATACCTGATGCCCAAAGTTAAAGGAGTGAAGGTTTATTTGGGCTCACAGTTTGTAGAGGTTTCAGTTCATAGCTGGCTGGCAGGGAGCCATCAGAAACCTAGGTTCAGGCACCCTTAATGCTAGCGTCGCACTGCAAATCAATCCCAGCATCACATTCGTACTCCCAGTATCCTACACTCTAGGTCCAGCCACCCCCGAAATGCTCTACCTATGACCGTGTGAGGCTTGGGGGAC